ATTTTATTCTATTCTGTATTCTATATTCTATATTCTATTCTGTATTCTATATTCTATTCTGTATTCTATATTCTATTCTGTATTCTGTATTCTATATTCTATTCTGTATTCTATATTCTATTCTGTATTCTGTATTCTATATTCTATTCTGTATTCTATTCTATATTCTATTCTGTATTCTATATTCTATTCTGTATTCTATATTCTATTCTGTATTCTGTATTCTATATTCTATTCTGTATTCTATATTCTATTCTGTATTCTGTATTCTATATTCTACTCTGTATTCTATTCTATATTCTATTCTGTATTCTATTTTATTCTATTCTGTATTCTGTATTCTATATTCTATTCTGTATTCTATATTCTATTCTGTATTCTATATTCTATTCTGTATTCTATATTCTATTCTATTCTATTTTATTCTATAGTCCTGTTCTATTCTACTTTATAGTCCTGTTCTATCTTGTTCTGTTCTGCCCTACTCTATAGTTCTATTCTATTCTATTTTGACTGTTGTGGCATTCCCAGAGTCATACAATTTATGTGCTTGACAACTGACTCACATTGATGACCGTCCCAGGGTCATGCGATCCCCATTTGTGACCTTGTGACAAGCAAAATCCATAGGGAAACCAAATTCACTTAACAACTGTGTTACTAATTTTAACAACTGCCGTGATTCACTGAACCAATGTGGCGAGAGAAAAGTGGTAAAATGGAGCACAACTCATTCAACCACGCTCTCACTTAGCAAATTTCAGGCTCAATTGTGGTCATAAGTCGAGAACTACCTGTACAACTTCAGACTCTTTGCACAGGCCTGGTTTGGACTTGGGGGGGGGAGATGACTCCTTCCCAAATCTGGGGACCATGCCAAACCTCCCAATTCCCAGATGAGCTCCTAACTCTGTTATCAACATTTAAAATACCTCAGGCCGCCATCTTGGTGCCATGTTGGTACGAAGCACGTCCAGACGGTGTCTGGAAGAGGAGATTTGCGTTTTCTTTTAAATATCTTGGAGAAATGCCTCTTGAACCCTCCGGGGAGATCCTCGGGCATCCAATCGGCCATCCAGTCCGCGGGATGCAGTTCCCAGTATCTCAGCCCCGCTGCAGGAAAGAAGAAAAAAGAAAAGAAAAAAGGCAAATTAAGAAAAAATGACCAGGTGTTGGAATTACAATAGAATAGAATAACAAGAGTTGGAAGGGACCTTGGTGTTGTGGGCTGCCAGCGTCAGCAGATTCGGACAGTGAGGAGGTTGTGAGGGGGGGGGGGGACATGGGCCTGTCCTAGAGTCTGGGGAAGGCTCTGATGAAGGCTCTGTGTCGGAGGCAGAGAGGGGGTCAAGGCCGTCCGACAGTTATCAGCTGCCTTCAGAGTCGGACATCAGTNTTTTCTACTTGCATTTTTTACGTGCTTTCGAACTGCTAGATTGGCAGAAGCTGGGACAAGTCACAGGAGCTCACACCATTACGCGGCACTAGGGATTTGAACCACCAAACTGCCGACCTTTCTGATCGACAAGCTCAGCATCTTAGCCACTGAGCCACCGCCTCCCTTTATTTAAAGTATAAAGTGAGTACTGATAATTAGCAAGTCGCAATCGAGGCATTTAACACATAAAAAAAGAAAAGAATCAAATTTCCCTGTTGCCCGCATGTGTTCTTGGCTTCATATTTGCTCTCGCTTCTCCCAACGTTGCTTGTGAAGTGTGTGTTTTTGGTCACAGAATGTCTGTACGCAAAAGAGCCTTTTGTGCTCTCTAGCCCGAACCTTTAACAGGAAACTTTAACATGGAAATTAACTCCAAAATCTGTTCTACTTACTACTTCCCCCACCTCCCCCCCACTTCCCCGTAATCTGAAAATATTGCCATCACCCCGTAAAATGATCAGCAGCATTTGTGGTTGGTCTGTGCAAGTGTAAACCCACAGTTTCAGAGAAAGCGTATAAAACAGAGAAAATTCCTCCCTTCTCAAATAATGTCAAAGTGCTAAATGAAGAGCCCTGGGCTAGGCTGCCCCCTCATCATACTAAATCAATTGCAATACTACTGTTGGTTACTTTCACTGCAGATCGCCAGCCCACTCTATGTTCAAAATCCACATGGCGCACTCCAGACGGATAATTTTCAAAGGTGTACGAAACCTACAGAGGAGAGAAACAGAAGAACAGTTCGGTCTGGAGAAGAGGGGAATAGGAGAGGGGAGGGAAATTGCTGTAAAATGCAAAATCTATGTTTTGTTTCCAGGGATTTACTTTAATACCCAGAAAAGGAAGGAGCCTTGGAGGTCATCTAGTCCAGTGGCCCCCAACCTACGGGGCACCAGGGACCATTCCAAGGGGTGTTCTGACCGAGGCTTCCCAAGAGCAGGAAGCAAACTCCTTGTCCCAACAACAACAACAAAAAAACACTTTTTATTAATTTCCTGTGAATTCTGCTCCTTCGCATCCAGCAAAGTCTTTCAAGGGAGGATTTACAGTCACAGACCTTATCTGGCTTGGAGAGCTGCCAGGCTGATATCTGCAGAACTTGGCCAGGAGTCTCAGAGAGTCACGAACCAATGAAGTGAACGAATGGTCTCCTGCAAACTCCACTCCCCTTTCGCTCCTCTTTTATTTCCTCTGGGAGGGGCCATTCATCGTCTGCCTGTGGCCTTCCTCCCAAGTCCACCTGTTCCCTTCATCTGGCAGCTTTGTGCATGCGCACACTGGGAACAGGCTCCAGCTGTTCTTCTGCCTCACTGATGTCTGACTCTGAAGGCAGCTGATAACTGTCAGATGGCCCTGGCCCCCCCTCTGCCTCCGACACAGAGTCCTCATCAGAGCCTTCCCCAGACTCCAGGAATGGCCCATGTTCCTCCCCAACCTCCTCACTGTCTGAATCTGCTGCTAGCTCCACTGGCCACTGGCAGGCCACAACAGCCCTGCTTGAGCAGAAGAGTCCATATGGGTAGTCCTTGACTTACAACAGTTCGTTTAGTGACTGTTCAAAGTTATGACATCACTGAAAAAAGTGACTTAGGACTATTTTTCACACTTACAACCGTTGCAGGGTTCGCCCTGGTCAAGAGATCAAAATTTGGATGCTTGGTAACTGGTTCATATTTATGACAGTTGCAGAGTCCTGCGGTCATGTGATCCGCTTTTGCGACCTTTTGACAAGCAAAGCCAAGGGGGAAGCGAGATTCACTTAACCTGTAACATGGTACTAACTTAACCACTGCAGTGATTCACTTAACAGCAGGGGCAAGCAACGTCATAAAATGGGGCAAAACTCACTTAACAAATGTTTCACTTAGCAACATACATTTTGGGCTCAATTGTGGTCGTACGTTCGAGGACTACCTGTACCATTTCACAAATGTTTTGTTTTACCTCCCTCCATTCTTCCACAGTGGGCACTTGTTCTTGGACTTCAAACATCTTGCAGTAATCTTGGAGGATTTCGCAATCGGCAGAGAGCAGGTTCACCGTCAGCTGATAATGGGAATTATCCACATTAAAATACCTGTTTTTACAGAGGAGAAAAACGGGACAGAAAACAGCATCAGCTGGCTGCTTCCAAAGGCCATTTTGTGCCTGAAATAATGTAGAGGGAATTGAAGGTGGCCTTATAATGGCTTCTACTGTACTGCCATAAAAATGGCTTCTACTGTGCAGCACAGTGGAGTTGCCATGGTAACGGCTTCACAGTACTCCACAAGGGGACTCCCTCTGGTAAGGAGGAAAATCCAACATTAGAAATTAGGTTATAGAAATCCCCCCAAAAATAAATACCCAGGCAACGCTGGGTTATTGGCTTGTATCCTCTCAATAAGGGGTCTCCAACCTTGACCACTTGAAGACTTGTGGACTTCAACTCCCAGAATTCCCCAGCCAGCCATATCCATAAGTCTTAAGTGGCCACGGTTGGTGACCTGGTACTAGAATGATAAAACTGTCAATCTCATTTTAACCAGCTATCTTGCTCTCTTGAGTTTTGGGCATGAAGGGACGTGGTGGCTCAGTAGCTAAGACGCTGAGCTTGTCGATCCGAAAGGTCGGCAGTTTGGTGGTTCGAATCCCTAGCGCTGCGTAACGGAGTGAACAGCCCTGGCTCTTCGGCTTTGAAACGGAGATGAGAACCACCCCTAGAGTCGGGAACGACTAGCACATAAGTGCGAGGGGAACCTTTACCTTTGGGCATGAAGAATCCAAAGCATATTTGGCATGCATTAAGGACTAGAGACTTGATTCCCCCCTCCCCCTAAACACAACATTTAGGGAAGCCGAATTTTCTTCTGAAGAGAATATTTGAGGCATTTTAAAGAAAGAGAACCCATTTACCATCGTACAATTTGTGCCTACTCCTTTTTTTTTTTGCCATCTACAGTACTCACCAATCCTTCACCGTGATTTGGGGCTTCATTTCATCCATTACCCAGTTCGAGATCCCTTTGTCCTTCAAGGTGACCCGTTGTTTCTTCTTAACAAAAAACCTAAACAGAGATAGAAATGCAGAAAGGCCTTCCTGGTCTGGGGAAAAGACACCGGAGCCGGAGGGTTAGAAGCTTGAAGCTCCTATTCGCTATTCACTATGCTATGCTATGCTATTCTGTATTCTATTCTATATTCTATTCTATATTCTATTCTGTATTCTATATTCTATTCTATATTCTATTCTGTATTCTATATTCTATTCTATATTCTATATTCTATTCTGTATTCTATATTCTATTCTGTATTCTATA